ATATGGTGCTCATGCAATAAGAAGAATTAACATCATTAAAATGTCCACACTACCTAAAGCAATCTAAAGATTCAATGCAATTCCTATCAAAATACCAATGGCATTTTTCACAGAACTAGAACAAATAATCCTAAAATTTATATGGAACCACAAAAGACCCCAAATAACCAAAGTACAGCAATCTTGAGAAAGAACATAGTTGAAGGTATCATGCTACCTGACAGCAAACTATACTGCAAAGCTATAGTAATCAAAACAGCATGGTACTGGCACAAAAACATACATATAGATCAATGGAGCAGATGAAAGAGCCCAGAAATAATCTCACGCCTATATGATCAATTAATCTATAACATGAGGCAAAATATGCAATGGGGGAAGACAGTCTTCAATTGATGGTATTGGGAAAACTGGACAGATACATGAAAAAAACGAATGTAATTAGACTGCTTTTGTACGTCATATTTTTTAAAAAACCCTCAAAATGGACTAAAGACTTAAATGTAAGACCTGAAACTATAAAACTCCTGGAAAGAAACACAGGCAGTAACCTCTTTGACACTGCCCAAAGCAATTTTTTTTAATATTCTCCTTGGGCAAAAAAAAAAAAAAGAAAAAGAAAAAGAAAAAGAAATAAATAAATGGCACTACAGCAAACTAAAATTTTTTGCATAGTGAGGGAAACCGTCAAAAAAACAAAAAAGACAACCTCCCAAATGGGAAAAGATATTCGCTAATGATACATATGATAGAGGTTAATATCCCAAATACATAAGAAACATGCAACTTAACACCAAAAGAAAACAAAGAATCAAATTAAATAATGGGCAGAGGACTTGAATAGACATTTCTCCAAAGATGGCCAAAAGATATGTAAAAAGATATTCAACATCCCTAGTTATCAGGGAAATGCAAATTAAAACCACACTGAAATATTACCTCACACCTGTCAGAATGGCTATCATCAATAAATCCACAAATAACAAGTGTTGGCAAGAATGTAGATAAAAAGAAACCCTTGTGCACTGTTGCTGGGACTGTAAATTGGTGTAGCCACTATACAAAACAGTATGGACTTTCCTCAAAAATTAAAAATAAAACTACCATATGTCCCAGCAATTCCACTTCTGGGTATTTATTTGAAGAAAACAAAAACACCGATTTGAAAAGATATATGCACCCCTAAGTTCACTTCAGTATTACTTACTAGCCAAGATATAAAAGCAGCCTAAGTGTCCATCAACAGACAAATGGATAAAGAAGATGTAGCAGAAGTGGTATACAAATAGAATGAAATATTACTTAGCCATATAAAAAGAACAAGATCTTGCCTTTGCAACAACACGGATTGACCTAAAGGGTATTATGCTGGGTGAAATAAGTCAGACAGAGAAAGACAAATACCGTATCATTTCACTTATATGTAGAATCTAAAAAACAAAATATACAAACAAAACAAACTCATAGATACAGAGAACAAATTAACAGTTGTCAGATTGGGGGGCGAGGGTATGGGTGAAAAAGGTGAAAGGGATTAAAATGTACAAATTGCGCCCTGGCCAGTTTGGCTGAGCAGTGGAGCACTGGCCCAAGGACCAATGAGTCGTGGGTTCCATTCCAAGGGGCACATACCTTGGTTGCAGTTGGTCCCCGGGCCTGGTCAGGGTTGTGTGTGAGGCAACCAGTCAATGTGTCCCTCTCATGTTGATGTTTCTCTTTCTCTCTCTCTCTCTCTCTCTCTCTCCCTCCCTCCCTCCCTTCCTCCCACTCTATCTGAAGATAAATAGAAAAATATCCTCAGGTGAGGATTAAAAATAATAATAAAATGTACAAATTGCCAGTTATAAAAATAATCAGTGGGATATAAAATACAACATAGTCAATATTTTAATTATTTATAATATTAATTGATATATAGTTAATATTTTAACATCTATGGTATCAAATGGGTACTAGACTTACAGGGTGACCACTTTGTAAAGTATATAAATGTCTAATCACTATGTTGTACACCTGAAACTAATATAATATACGTCAACTGTAACTGAAAAATAAATCAGCTGTATTTCTATAAACAAGCAATGAACAATGTGAAAAGACAATTAAGAAAGTAATTCTAGCCCTGGCCAATTTAGCTCAATGGTTGGAGCATCAGCCCATAGACCAAAGGGTCTCGAGTTCGATTCCTAGTCAAGGGCAAATGCCTGGGTTGCAAGTTTGATCCAGCCCTAGTAGGGGTGTGTGCAGGAAGCAATCAATTGATGTCTCTCTTGCATCGATGTTTCTCTCTCTCTCTCTCTCTCTCTCTCTCTCCCCCCCTCCCCCACCCTCTCTTCTACTCTAAGAATTAATGGAAAAAATATCCCCAGGTAATGATTAACAACAACAACAACAACAAAAAGTAATTCTAATTGCAACAGTATCTAAATGATAAGTAAATGTTTAGAAAGACATCCTGTGTTCATTAAATGAAGATTTAATATTGGTCAGATGCTGATACTACCAAACATGATCTATAGATTTAAGCAATCCCTATCAAAATTCAAACAGACTTTTTAACAGAAACGGAAAAGTCATATGGAATCACATGGGACCCAAAATAGCCAAAACTATCCTTAAAAAGAATAATAAAATTATTCCTGATAGCAAACTCACTACCAAAGCCACATTAATCAAAACAGTGATGTACAAGCATTTAGATGAACATACAGAAAAATGGAATAGGCCCTAGCCGGTTTGGCTCAGCAGTTAGAGCATTGGCCCGCAGACCAGAGAGTCCTGGGTTCGGTTCCCGCTAAGGGCATGTACCTCAGATGCAGTTTCTCCCCGGCTGATTGGGGCCATGTGGGTGGCAGCCACCTGATGTGTCTCTCTCACATTGATATTTCTCTCTCTCTCTTCCTCCCTCCTTCTCTCCCTCCCGCTCTATCTGAAGATATATGCAAAAATGTCCTCAGGTGAGGATTTAAAAAAAAAGAGAAAGAAAGAAAAATGGAATAGAACTGAGAGTTCAGAAATAAACCTATATAATATGGAAAACTCATTTGACAAGGAAGTTAAGAAAATTCAATGGGGAAAATTAATCTGTTCAACAGATGGTACTAGAATAACTGAATTTTTCACATGCAAAAAAATGAAGTTGGACCTCTACCTCAAACACCTATAAAAATTAACTCAAAAGGGATCGATGACCTGCTCTGGCCAGTTTGGCTCAGCGGTTAGAGCGTCAGCCTGCAGTCGAGTTTGGTTCCCACTAAGGGCGCGTATCTAGGCTGCAGTTTGTCCCTGGCCCTGGTTGGTCATGCGGGTGGCAGCCATTCCATGTGTCCCTTTCACTTTGGTGTTTCTCTCTCTCTCCCTCTCTCTCTCTCTCTCTCTCTCCCCCTCCCACTCTATCTGAACAAAAAAATGAAATAATGTCCTTGGGTGAGAATTTAAAAAAAGGGATTAATGACCTAAATATAAGAGCTAAAAACTGTAGGCCTATGTATTCAAGCACCCCAGGAATCCTGCAATGCCAGGTACAACAACCGCTAGAGTCTGGAACAAATTAACTGTGATAAACAAGGGTCGACTATACACCTACTAGGAAGGCTACAATCAAAATAACAGACATTTTCGAGGATTAGAGTAACTGGAACTCTGGTACATTGCTGAAAAAGACACTGTGGTGTGTAGTTTGGCATTTCCTCAAAAAGTCAAACACAGTATTACCATGTGATCTGGTTCTATTTTACTCCTGGGTACAAAGTCAAATTTGAAAACAGGGACTAAAGTAGATACTTGTATGCCAATGTTCACTGTAGCATTTATTCACAATAGCCAAAAGGTGGACACCATCAAGTGTCCATCAGCAGATTAATGGATAAACAAACCATGGTATATACACACAATGGAATATTATTCAGCTAGAGAAAGGAATGATTTACTGACAGATGCTACAACATGGATGACCTGTGAAGTGATGCTAAACATTATAAGTGATATAAGCTATCCATGAAAGTACAAGTTATTACATGATTCTATTTTTTAAAATATATTTTTATTAATTTTTTAGAGAGAGACACAGAAACATCAATGTGAGAGAGAACGTCAATAGACTGTCTCCTTCACACCCGGCACTGGGGATCAAGCATTCAAATACTAGAATAGGCAAATTATAGAGACAAAAGGTAGATTAGAGGTTACCAGGTGCTGGGTGGAGGGGAAAATTCAAAGCTATTGCTAATGGACACAGAGTTTCTGTTTGGGGCAATAAAAAAGTTTTGAAAATAGATACCAGTAATGGTTGTACAACACTGTGAGTATAATGAATGTCACAAATTATATACTTAAAAAATGGTTATTTGAGTCCAGCCAGTGTGGTTCAGTGGTTGAGCATCAACCCATGCACCAAGAGGTCGCCGGTTCGATTCCCGGTCAGGACACATGCCTAGGTTGTGGGCCTGATCCCAAAGGGGGGCATGCAGGAGGCGGCCAATTGATGTTTTCTCTCATCGATGTTTCTATCTCTCTCTCCCTCTCACTTCCTCTCTCTCTAAAATCAATAAAGGGAAAAAAAAGTATTTGATTTTTTATTTTTAGCATAAAGTACACACATACACACATAAGAAAAAAAGATTCTGGTTCATATCCTTCTGCCAAATGATAAACCTAGATTTTCACAACACTACAATTGACTCTGTATGGAACTTTACAGAAGTCAGTGTTCTGCAATGTTTAATTCTATAGCACTACAAGTGATAAAACTCCTAAAAACAGTGTGCTAAAAATTCTAATCATGTTAGTTAAAGCAAAACAATATTCTTTCCCATTTCTCAATAATCCAAGAAGCTCAATAAATAAAACTATCTACTTTCATATTATACACCAACACCTATGCAAGTGGCTAAAAATGGACTATGGCTTATATCTCTTTATATTTTTGTTTTTACTCTGCCAGAACTGGATATTAAGTAAATACTGGTCACTGACATTAAGCCTTTATTTTTAGCACTTACAAAATACACTGCTCCAAAGCTTCCATGGCCGATTTCTCTGAGGTCTGTGAAGAGCTTCTCTGGATCTTCTTTGAAGAAGAGCTCTGCAATTTCAGGGTCCTTCAGGCTGCCTGCTCGGTTAGTTGATGGCATCCTGCTGGGCAATCAGTTCTTTGATTCTAATTTTATACTTGCTATCCCAATCCTTGGTTCATGTGTATGAATGAAGCCACGTTGGCATAAACTGTTGTAGAGAAATAAGAAAAGAAAAAAGTCAGGGAAAGCAAAAGTTGCTAAGAATAATTAGTTCTTAAGATAATTTTCTAAAAGCCCATACAAAATTATCTCAGCTCTAGAAATTGACTGAAAAGGAAGTGTGGTCTACTAGTATAGTAGTTCCTAAACCTGGTTCATTATCAGACTTACCTGTGATCTTTAAAAAAAGATTCCTACTATACATAGCATATAAGTATATACTATACTTCCACTTCTAAAATTAAAAAGTTTTATCTTGCAACATTTTCTGTATCAGAACTTTAATATTTATCTAATCCTGATGCAGTGAGCCCATCAGCAGAACAGATCATTTAATACACAGACTATTAAAAACACGCACAACTCAAGATATACCCATAGCATGTTTCTAAAAACAAAAAGAGTCCCATCTATTAATGATCGTCAAATATAAGAAAACGTATAAAAGATTTAATTCAGTGATATGTCTTTCTTTTCCTTGCAGATACCATATGCCTGTGTGTAGTCAACTCTAACACAGATATTCCAGAGAAAAAATGCAATGGGAGAAAGTAATGAATTGAACACAGACAACTGTTTCCCCCATAAACATTATTCACACAAAATATGGCCTTTGCCCGGCTGCTGTGTCTCAGTGGTTGAGCATCGACTCATGCACCAAGAGGTCGCCAGTTTGCAGCTGATTCCCGGTCAGGGCACATGCCCAGGTTGTGGGCCTTATCCCCAGTGGGGGGCATGCAGAAGGCAGCCAATCGATGTTCTCTTGCACTGATGTTTCTATCTCTCTCTCCATCTCCCTTCCTCTCTCTCTCAAATCAATAAAAAATTTTTTTAAAAATCTGCTTCATTAGATATGTAGACACTATGGACAACTAGTAAATTCCCTGGTAGTTCTGCTCCCAGTTCTTTTGTATCATATTGCTCAAGTTTAAAAATTACTTTTATAATTGAAAGTCTGGGTTCTGGAATGATACTATCAGGATCTGAATCCTGACAACACTATTTACAAGCTGTGACTTGGGTCGCCTCATTTTCCTAACCTGCAAAATGAAAATAATAACCTATCCCACTGAGTAGTTGTGAGGCTTAAATGAGTTATTAAATGTAAGCACACTAATATTCTGACATAGTAAACACTACGTTAAATGTTAACTATTTTAACTTGCTTAAATTCACCAATGGAAAAAAAAAAGATCCAAAATTGATTTCACTAGACTTCTAAGAAAAAATAAAGTTCTAGCCAATTCTCCCCATACCCCTTACATAATAACTTTTAACCAGCTATCTCATTTTTAGTGAAGTCACTGAACCAATTTTAATTCTTGCTAGAAAACTTCTTTGTTCTAAATGAAACATGTTTGCAGGTCTCTTTACCTCCCTAAATTAACACTACACTGCAATAAAAACATTATTTGTTAATTGTTATTTGTATTCCACTTCTAACATATTCCAAGGCTGTTCCATATACTTTTACCAATTTCCCTGCTCTGGAAGTTTCATGGAACAAAGTGCTTCAATTAGTTCAAGAATATATGACCAGACTTCCAGTCAAGATGGCAAAGTAAACACGGTATCAGGTCCTCCCACAATGACATCAAAATTACAACTAAACTACAGAACCATCACTCAAAACCACCTGAAATCAAGCTGAATGGAAGTCCTACAACTACAAAATTAAAGAAGAAGCCACATCAAGACTGGTAGGAGGGGTGGAGACATGGAAGGACTGGTCCCACATGCACATGTAGTGGATAAAAATCAGGAGGGATATCTTGGCTGTGGAGGGACCCCTGTGGAGCGAGTGGTCTAAAATCTCACAAAAATAGGATTTTCAGAATTAAGTAACTGTTCTACATTTGCAAAATAGTCAAATAACTGACAATGACATCAGTCAAAGCAACAAAAAGAAGATGGGGAAAGGGTACTGATAATCACAACATATTTAGTATTACTTAAGAAATGCTGCTTGGGCGAACGGTGATGATGTCATGTTATTCCATCTTTTTAAGAACCTTCAGATTTTCACAAAAAGGACACTGTTGGTCTTAAGAAATTGCTTCAATGCCATAAAAAGTCCTTTCCTCTACATCTGTTAATCAGAGGTTTCAGGCTGAGAAAACAGCCAACTTAGTCAGTGTCCTTTAGAGACAGAAAAGGTCTCTTTACATAAAACCATCAGAGAGAGATTATACTATCTACTATATCTCCCTTGAAACACACATACATACATACACACACCCCCAATCTCTCACTATACCAATAACTAGAATGGTAAGTACAACTGAAAAATATCATCAGTAAACTAAATCTGACATTACAGGAACTGAACTCACATCAGGCTTAATCTACACAGAACTGATTTGCTGCATAGTGTTCAACTTACTTATAAACATATATTCATTATAAAAAAATTTAGGGTTGGAAGAAATTAAAAGATTATTTGGTTCCAAAAGGTCACATTTCTTCTCAAAATCACATGGCCAATTAATGGAGGGAAATACAGAATCAACTCCCTGAACCACCTTCTTGTACTTGAAACTGAAATGAAGGAGAAAGATAAAAAGCAAGGGTAACATTGTTAAGGATTTCATAGGATTGGTGGGTATAAGAGGCATGTACGGGGCAGTATTATGAATGACTTAATTTTGGGCATTGATAAAGATATGAAGATTAGTTTTTATTATAAAATAAGAGACATATATGTAATACATAACCATTTATATAAAAATAAAATATATATATCTATGCACACACAGATAATCTTTAGAAGGATATATGAGAAAGAGGTGTGTTTGAGATTTTTTTCCTCCAATGGATCCTTTCTATCTTTCAAATTTTTGTTCCCCAAATACATGGATTACTTTTCAGTTTTTTTCATTTTAAAGAGATATGGGTAATAGTCTTTTCAAGAAAAGCCTTAATTATACAACTTCATTAGTTACCATTTTATATGTGTGTTCTTGCTCCAATTAGACTAATAATGTGTAACTTTTATGTACCTTTCACAATGTCTTTTTTTTTTTTTTTTTTTTTGGTACATGCCCCTAGCGGGAACTGAACCTGGGACTCTCTGGTCCACAGGCCAACGCTCCAACCGCTGAGCCAAACTGGCCAGAGCCCTTTCACAATGTCTTACATGTAATAAGCACTTAATAAAATCTATGTAATTAAGATTAGAAATAAAAATGTGAGCATCTTCTAATGTTTAGTACAAAATACGAAACTGTACCTTGGTGTTTATTTAGTATTTGCTTAGAACAACTTATTTTACAGGATTATTACAGATGAAGAGGGGATGAAAAATAAAGAACTTAAGAGACATATCTAAATAAATGAAACAGCCCTAGCTAGTTTGGCTCAGCAATTAGAGAGTCAGCCCATGGACCAAAGTGTTGTGGGTTCAACTCCCAATCGGGGGCACATGCTTGGGTTGCAGGTTTGATCCTGGCCCCAGTCGAGGTCATAGGGGAGGCAACCAATGAATGATTCACTCACTCTCTTTCCCTCCCTTTCTTCCAGTCTGTCTGGGAATCAATGAAAAATTACCCTCAGGTGAGGGTTAACATAAATAAATAAATAAATAAACATGAAACTAAGGTTGAAAACAGTATGGCAGACATGTTTAGGTTTTTTAAAAAGTAAGGTATGAATAATGTATAAACTATAGTATGGTCCCAATTGTGTGTTGTTGTTTTTTTAAAAGGCAAGAAAAAATATATATGTATGTATGTATGTGTGTGTGTATTTGTACATGCACAGGCTGTCTCTGGAATGATATTCCACAATATGTACTATTTTTTTTTCTTTTTTTTTATCCTCACCCAAGGACATTTTTGCCTTTATCTTCAAATAGAGTGGGAAGGAGAGAGGGAGGAAGAGAGAGAGAAACATCAATGTGAGAGAGACACATCAACTGGCCGCCACCCACATAACCCCATGGGGCCGGGGACAAACTGCCAAGGTATGTGCCCTTAGCAGGAACTGAACCCAGGACTCTCTGGTCCGCGGGCCGACACTCTAACCGCTGAGCCAAACCGGCCAGGGCCACAATGTGTACTATTATTTTCCTCACGGGAAAGGTACTATGCTGGGCCACTGAGGAACAAGGATTGATTTTACACTCTAGTGAGGTACACAGCCTCTGATGCCAAAATACCTAAGATAGAATTCTAGCTCCCTTGCTTACTAGCTATATGATGTGGGATAAGTCACTTAATCTCTCTGTTTCAGTTTCTTTATCTATAAAATGGTACTACTCTTAGGGTTGCTGTATTATTACTAAGTAGTATTCCATTGAATGGATGGAATGAATGATTTTCTACAACACATACATCACTATTACTGACTCCTGGGCAAACTCGAAAGATGAAACTTTATTAACCTTACTATTTTACTTGATGGTAAAATATATTGCTCTTACAGTCAAGGAAGATAAGAATGTCTAGGACCTTCTTATTACCCAACATTATTCTAGAGGTCTTGGCTTTGTTAACTTATGCCATAACACATAAAGAGTTCCTACAAACCAATAAAAAAAAAAGTAAGCAAATTCCATGAATAAGAAATTCACAAAGAATTACAAATGATACCCTGGCCAATTTGGCTCAGCGGTTACAGCATTGGCCCGCAGACCAGAGAGTCCCAGGTTCGGTTCCCACTAAGAGCACGTACCTCAGTTGCAGTTTGTCCCTGGCCCCAGTTGGGGTCATGTGGGTGGTGACCAGTGGATGTATCTCTCTCACGTCGACATTTCTCTCTCTCTCTTCCCTCCTCTCTCCCTCCTGCTCTATCTGAAGATAAATCAAATATGTCCTCAGGTGAGGATTAAAAAAAAAAGAATTAAAAATGGCTATTAAAACATATAAAAATATGTTAGTAAAGCAGAGATAAATGAAATGTGGAATATAAAAACAATAAAGAAAAATAAGTAAAACCAAAAGTTGGTTCATTGAAAATATAACAAAACTGACAGATATTTTTAGTTAGGGAAAAATGAGAAGGCTCAAAATACTAAAATCCAAAATGAAAGCTGGAATACCACTACCAATCTTACAGAAATAAAAAGAATTATATAAGAATAGTATGACCGCCCTGGCCGCTTTGGCTCAGTGGTTGGAGTGTCCACCTGCGGTCCGGAGAGACCCGGGTTCGGTTTCCGCTAAGGGCATGTACCTCGGTTGCAGTTTGTCCCCGGCCCTGGTTGGTCGTGTGGGTGGCAGCCACTCAATGTGTCCCTTTCACATCGATGTTTCCCTCTCTCTCTCTCTTCCTCTCTCTCCCTCCCACTCTATCTGTACAAAAAATGGAAAAATGTCCTCGAGTGAGGATGAAAAAAATAAAAATAAAAAAATAAATAAATAAAAAGAATAGTATGACCAACAAATTAGATAATCTAGACGAAATTATCAAATTATTACAATTATAAAAACTAGACTTCCGGTCTAGATGGCAGCATAGGTAAACGGAGTAACTTGCCTCCTCCCACAACCACATCAAAATTACAGCTAAACTACAGAACAAACATCATTCAGAACCACCTGAAATAGAGCTGAATGGAAGTCCTACAACTAAGAAATTAAAGAAGTCACATCTAGAAGGGTAGGAGGGGCGGAGGTGTGGAAGGGCTCATCCCATACCCATGTATGGCAGATAAAAATCAGGAGGGATACTCAGCAGTGAAAGTCCACCCTGAGAAATGACTGATTGGTCCCCGTCCCACCCCAGGCGCCCAGCTCAGAGAAGTCCCCATAACATCTGGCTATAAAAACCAGCAGGAACTGAGGCTGAGGCTGCTGGAGCCCTGCACCAGGCAGCTCCTCTTAAAGGGCCCACACATGGTATTACTCAGACCCGCTCCCTCTGAGCTCCAGTGCATAGGGGAGGCAGCCTGAAAGGCACCAGAGACATACGGGGAAGAACTGAGTTGTTTGGCATCGGTATGAAGGCTGGAGAGGCAGCTTTCTCCGGGATAGAAATGCTGGCAGAGGCCTTTGTTCCTTTGGTGATCCCTTCCCCCACAGGGCAGGCAGACATGCATCATATCTGGGACATAACGTGATCTGGCAAACACTGTTTGCCCTGTTCTGGTGATTCCCTGAGGCCCTGCCACACCCAACTTTTGGGCCCAGGCAGGCTGTTTCCAGTGGTCTTACCATAGGATTGGCCTTTTTTTTCCGCTCCTGCTTCAGGTTTTCCTAAATTCTCTCAAACAAGCAACATCTGGCCTCAGTGAGCCCCATACCTCTTGCTAAGTGGCCCCAGGCCTGGCACTAGAAGTAGCCAGCCTTGGTTCACAGCTTGGCTTTGCCTGGGCATCTCCAAGACCAGCACAAGAAGCAGCCATCTGCAGATCGCTTTGTTGCTTATGCCTGGTGGTCCCTGGTAGAAAACAGGCAGTGGCTGACCTTGCTCTAGAGCCAGCACACCCAGTGGACAGCTTCAGACCACGTCGAATCACCACTACCCAACAACCTCCACAAGTGACATACTCAAAGAATGGACTGAGTGGGTACCAGAGCCCTGCTGAAGTAAATCTTGCTCTGTGTGGTGGGTCCCTGCACAGCTGATCATCCAAGGTAGTCAGAGGTCAGTGGTTAATGGGCCCAGCCAATCCTTGCAGCTGATCAGCCTGAGTAAATCCCTCCCATTGATGTGCCAACAGCAATCTAGACTCAATTACAACAGAAGGGTGTCAAGTCCACACCAGGGGTCTACTTCGAGGGCCCAGCTGGGTGACCAGGGAGGCTGTGCCACTGGACCCTAAAAGACACCTACTACAACAGGCCACCCTAGGAAGCCTAGAAGACATAGCAACTTTACCTAATACAGTCGCCCCCATTTATCGCAATTAATAAGTTCTAGACTCTACCATGATAAATGAATTTCCGCGATGTAGGATTCTATATTTACTTTATTTACTACTATCTATAATATACAAAGAACAATTACTTGGGTTGACCCAATTAAAAGTGGGCAAAGATAATTGACAAATAAGTAAATAAAATATATTTTTAAAATTTTTCTTTAAAAGGGCAAAGGAGCCCTGGCCAGTTTGGCTCAGTGGTAGAGCATTGGCCCACAGAACAATGAGTAAGAGGTTCGATTCTGGCCAAGGGCACGTGCCGCGGTTGCGGTTCGTCCCCAGCCCTGGTAGGGACTGTGCGGGAGGCAACCAGTTGATGTGTGCCTCTCATGAAAATGTTTTTTTTCTCTCTCTCCCTTTTTCTCCCTCCCTCTCTCTCCCACTCTATCTGAAGATAAATAGAAAAATATCTTTGGGTGAGGATTAAAAAAAAACAAACAAAACAAGGGCAAAGAAATAGGATAGCCATTTCTCCAAAGAAGATATACAAATGGTCAATAAGCACATGGAAAAATTCTCAACATCATTACTCATTAAGGAAATGCAAATCAAAACTACAATGAGATATTACTTCATACCCACTAGTATGACTATAATCAGAGTCAAATAACAGGTGTTAGCAAGGATGTGGAGAAATCGGGACCCTTGTGCATTGCTGGTAAGGATGTAAAATGGT